CTTTCCCTTCCCCTCCCCACAACAGACACCCTGTGAGGTGGGTGGGGCTGAGAGAACTCTGACACAAACTGCTCTTTTTCAAGGACAGCTGTGCCAGAGCTTGTGACTGACCCAAGGTCACATCAGCAGGTGCAAGTGGAGGAGTGGGGAATCAAACCTGGTTCTCCCAGATTAGAGTCCGCACACTTTAACCACTACACCAAACTGGCTGAATTAGGGCCAGAAGCGGGGCGGCCAGAAGCAGGGTGAGGGGCTTCGTCATGTGCCCCGCCCCCGTACCTCACCCGGGGGAACTGCGATCCCCCGCGTTTCCCCCCGAAATGAGCTCTGATTGCCACACACAAACACACCCCAATCCCAGTGATAGGCTGTTTACTTCACATTACTACTGGATTGGTTACTTCCAGAGTCCTGGTAGGCTATTGTTCTTATGCTCCAAGCTTAGCCAGTCTCTGGTGTGACATGCCTGGAATGATTCAGTCCCAGTATATAACAATAGGGTTCCTCCACAAGTCTCCCCCACCCTTCCCGGTGCAGTTATGGAGTCAGTTTATTTTTCCCCCTCTGGGAATTACAGCTGCTCTCCAGACTACATAAATCATGTATTATTTATTTAAAACATTTATTCCACTTCTCCTGGAGGAAATGGCTGCTTTAGGAGGTGGACTGCCGGGCATTATACCCCACCAAGGTCCCTCCCTTCTCTAAACCCCACCTTCCCTGACTCCACCCAGTTTGGTGGAGCTAGTTTGGTGTAGTGGTTAAGTGCGCGGACTCTAATCTGGGAGAACCGGGTTTGATTCCCCACTCCTCCACTTGCACCTGGCTGGATGACCTTAGGCAAGCCGTAGTTCTGACAAGAGCTGTTCTTGAAAAAGAGCAGTTTCTGTCAGAGCTCTCTCAGCCCCGCCTACCTCACAGGGTATCTGTTGTGGGGAGGGGAAGGGAAAGGAGTTTGTAGGCTGCTCTGAGACACCTTTGGATGGTGAAGCGTGGGATATAAATCCAATCTCTTCTTCTTCTTCAAATCTCTGGGTGTTTCTGAACCCATAGTTGACAACAACTGCTGGGGGGAATTCAGTCCCTGACAGTACAAGCAAGTTTATGCTGAGGTAATTATGCACATAATTCCAATTATTTTAACATATAGTGAAGGAAAGACCTTTCACCTCTCCTCAGAAACAAACATGTCATATATTCCAGTTTATGAGTCTGGCAAAGAGCACAAGGATAAGGGTATTTATATATTTCAATATTTTTTTTAGCCTCTGTACATGGCCTCCAATTGCAGTTTACAAAATCCATCAAAAACGCACAAAAGTACCAAATCGCGCACACAGCTGCTAGGCAGATGTTTTA